AAAAAAAAAAAAAAAAATTTACCTTGTTGGAGAAGAATCTTTTGCCGAGGCCGTAGAATTTTTTCGACATTTTTTTGGATTTTTTTTGATGCTCGAATCGTTCGTTGAAGTTCGGAAATTTAGAGAGATAGAAAGTATAGAGAGATGAAATCCAAAAAAAGGTTAAGGGCAAAAGAGTAAATGGGGGGGGCGGTGACTAGTAAAAGGGGGCGGTGAATAGCGATTGAGAAAAAAAAATTAATGTGATTATGCCATCTGATACATTAATTGTGAAAAATAAAACGCATTATAAACTCAAGATATTATTTTCTTTGATCTAAGAACTCCAAAATAATCATTTCCACTAGAAAATCACCACAATGGATTTCGTTATTACATTTGTCGCGTTTAAAATTAAAATCTGAATTTTGGTTGTTCCTAAACACAAAGGGAAAGCTGGACGAGCATGGAAAACTGGTGTCGGCGCTCAAAGAGGTTGATATTGTGATATCAGCATTGGCAGTCCCCCAACATCTTGACCAACTCAACATAATCACATCAAAGAGGCCGGCAGTATAAAGGTATGTGTAGTGTTTATGTACACTAATTTTTTTAGTCAAATTTCAACTCCTTAAACAAAATTTAGTTCATGCTCGATAAATACATATCTCTGTATCTCTTAGACTATGATTTCATGTATATTTTGATTACACCAGCCCATTGTGCAACATATAGGTCCGTAAAGAGATAGTAAAATAGTTTACCAAACATTCCCAACAATTTGCTGTGACTATACTATATATATAACATCGGAAATTATTCCGGGTTGAACTTAATTCCTAATTTTTGCGTGAAATTTTGATGTATACGCGCACGCACATGCATGCATGCATCTGCATAGAGGTTTGTCCCGTCAGAATTCGGGAATGAAGTGGACCGGGTGAGTGGGGCCCTCCCACCTTTCCAGAAGCTTCTCGACGATAAGAAAAAGATCAGGAGGGCTACTGAGGAGGCTGGGATACCTTTTACCTTGTCTCTCCCAACACATTTGCAGCTTATTTTGTTGATATTGTGCTGCATCCAAATCAACTCTCCCATGAACTCACTATTTATGGAGATGGCAAAAACCAAAGGTCCACATATATTATATAACTTTGTGGATTATGTCGAATCAAATTTCATCGAATTTAATCACTTAGCCCCGATCATTGATAGATTATGGTCATATATTTCTATATTTGTGCAGCTGTATGGAACTATGAAGAAGACATTGCGGTTTCCTCGTTGAAAGCTGTGAATGATCCTCGAGTAGCCAATAGAGTAATTATCTACAGACCTTCAAAAAACATAATCTCCCAATTGGATCTAATTGCTGCTTGGGAGCAAAAAACAGGGCGAACCTTCACTAGGAATCATGTTTCTGGGCAACAGCTCATCAACCTCTCTCAAAGTAAGACTCCTCTGCCAACTTGCCCTTGCACAATGTGTGTTATTTTGTTGCATATATATTTCTAAATGTTGAAATATATTTGTTTGCGGGTGCAGGTTTACCACACCCAAACAACATACCAGTGGCAATTCTAACACGATATTTTTATTGCTGGTACTCAATTAAGCTTTGAACTAGCAGTAGATGACTTGGAAGCCTCGAAGCTGTACCCAGAGCACAAGTACACTTCAATCGACAACCTTCTTAACCGTTGTCTTGTCGATCCGCCCAAAACCAAACTTGCATCATTTGCTTAGCTCACGTTTGCATTTTTCTTTTCATGCGAATAATAATTTTTGAAGGTCACGTAGAAAAATCTAGTGCTTTATCCATGCAACTACTGCAAAGGCTCCACGTGAATTGATTTTTTCTTTAACGTAATGTGATGGTGATGACGAAGTGGATTTCATGGAAGCTTTTTCTGTTTATTTCCATGTCAGCATCAACGATTTCAGTGTTCTATCCACGTTAATTTGTATAATCCACTGGAGTCAGAAAACAGATATATAATACAGGATTCATAAACAAATAAAATCATACACAGTTAAAGATCTCCGACAAGTTGGGCAACTGATACAAAAATTAAAGTCACCTACCGCGAGTAGGGCAAGTATTTGCAAAGTGGCCGGGATCACCACAGACGAAACACCTGCCTGAAATGGGTTCACCAGTAGCAGACACAAAAGCCCCACCATCATTTGCCCGGGCCCCACCACGGTTACCACCCCTGCCACGGCCACGCCCACCTCTTCTGCTGTTGCCATTTGGAGCTTCTCTACTTATGCCTCCTCCCCTACCACTCGCACCATTATCTTCCCACCTGCAATTCGCACATTTTCATCCTTCAAAAACCTTACTTCCAAAAAATCATATTCCGAACAAAAATTCCAAAGATAGTTTTTTTTTAGGCAAAATTGCATATTAATACACCACTTTTCATGTTTTTGCAATTTAATTACAACCTTTGAAATTTTGCAAATTAATACACCACCTTTACCATTTTTGGAAAATCGATACATGAATGACGGCTCCGTTAACAAAAATCTGACATGGCTTAATGCCATGTAAGATTTTCGTTAGATTTTTGTTAACGGAACCGTCATTCGTGTATCGATTTGCAAAAATGACAAATGTGGTGTATTAATTTGCAAAATTTCAAATGTGGTGATTAAACTGCAAAAACATAAAAGATGGTGTATTAATATGCAATTTTGCCTTTTTCTTTTTTTAATGACAAGATATTGAAGTGTGAGAATATTAACAAGAGTATAGTCTGTCATACATGAAGAAGTTGCAACCCTGAGCCTGACATGAATAGAACTTCCTTCCTCTATTAGCTGCAGTATTAGCCGTGCGCAAATTGCAAGGTGAGCCACACGAGGTACATGGAATAGAAGATTCTCCTGTGACTTCACGNAAAATGGACTACCTCTCCTCACTTGTGTTTTACCATTAATACCCTGATTTATAACACAACATCGTCTTAGAGCAGAATAAGGAATGGGATGATTCAACTTCAAATTCTCATCTCATTTATTTTAATTTCCACTTTCTTTACCCCCTCTACTGAGCGAAACAGTGATATTTGGCTGATACGAGAGCCATGAGTAGGATAAAAGGAAAATGCTGCCCCCCTGTGAAAGTGAAATATTATAACAAATCTGGCAAAGTTTATTAGCACGATCAATTTCTGTATATTTTCCTTTCAAACGAGTAACTCATTATTAAACGGAACTAGCAAATCCTCATGACTTCTTTATTTTCCGATTACTATCCCTGCTTTAGAAATTAGTAACCTTATACATCAGTGCAAAAAGATCTTGTTCCGTGTAACTGTTAGAACAATGTAATGTAGTGGACGAAAAGATGGTTTAGACTGTTGAACATTCCATGCCTTAAATGCATATGTAACACTCATAATCAGAAAGAACATACATAATAAAATGTTCAATAAAGCCATCATACCATCTTGTGAGACAGCACCCTGAGATCGTGAATTACGACCTCGTGAATTCTCAGGAGGATGTGAACCAGAAGAACGCCCTGTTTGCCAAGGACCTTGATTTCTGGTATTACTTTGCTGTGCACTGCTGGAGGATGGTGTATGCCCTTGTCCTCTTCCTGTATATAGTAACTGGTTTAAAAATCGTACATGGGGCAGAGTGCACATTGGGAATAATCTTAGGAGATTACTGAAATGGCATGACATTAAAGTTTATATAAGGGCACTTTATAAGTACGAGGACGTAGCACATGATGCTTAATAATTTTTCTGTGATTTAAAATTATACTGTTTATTGGATTTATACTTAATAGTATATTCAATTATTTTTTTCAATAAATTAATAGAAGAAGGCATAATTTATGATAAACCACATAAATGTAGCGAACGCTAAAGTATAATATTTGATGGTATTAATTGAAAGTTATGATTAAATAAAAGTAAATAGCAAACACTAGTGTTAGAATTTTAAAAATGAAATTAATTAATTTTTGGTGGAATCTTGATTGCTAGAGAATGCATCATTGTCTTTGATTTTGCTGATTGATGGTATCTTCACACTACTTGAAATCACGAATATAGTGTGATCCAGCTTTAATACCGTACCGCGGCAATCATAGTGGACAAGCACAGGTACGCGGTTCAATCTATTTTACCGTGTATTTTACCGGTTTTAATAAATAATAATCAGTTTATAATTATAAATTAGAAAGTGTATAAAACCAACTTTAACTAATACTTAACTTAATTAAAACTAATTAGCTTATAATTATAAGTAAAAAATGTATAAAAGCAACTTTAACTAATACTTAACTTCATTAAAATCTAATAAAAATAAAAAATATATCAAAAGTAAGTGTAAAAACTCTCATCTTATGTAAAAAAATTATAAGAATATATAAAAAATTACATTTATAATAACACATATCTAAAGCCTACGGTGTATCAATAATAATATTGAATAATATAACCAAGCGTAACTTAGTTTCTTCGAATTGATATCAAATTTATAGAAATAACCTTTTAATTATATGTTGAAACATTATAAATCAACATAGATAATAATAACAGTTTTTATTATGGATAAAAACTCCAAAAAATCAATTCTTGAATGGATAGATATAAAATAAAAGTTGAAGAAAATATAAATAAATAATAAGAAGAATGAACAAATATAAATTGAAAAATGGAGATTTGAAAATTATTAATTACAATTCTAACTCCCTAACATTAATAATAAAATTACGCTAATAATCTTAAGAATTAATTATAGGGTAGGGTAATTTTAGCAATTTAAAAGTTTCAAAGAGAACTTTTTAGAGAGTTGTACTAGTATGCTTGTATAGCAACCAAAACATTTGCAGCTATGTGTGTCTGAAGTCATGGTCCATGCATGTCTATGCATGTGAATCATATATAGCTTAATACTATGCATTTACGTGAATCCTATAGGTACCAGGAATGGTGGAGCTGCGGGACCCAGTTCCACATACTTCTACCAGCTGCTTCAGAATGTCATCACATCCACCAATGCAGCCTGAAAACAGTATGGCAATTCAGTTCACCTTTTTAGTTAATATCCTTGTTGCAGAGACCAAATTCAGTATGAGATGAACTGTGGCAATCATCCAGATCTTTGTCCCTAAATTACATCATATGCATTTGTTCAACATAAAAGGAAACCAGGAGTGTCCAGAATGTTGTCTAAATGAGAACATGGAAACTCGTCTGCAGAACACATCTTGTATACAGAAATACATGATCCTACACTAATATACTTTGTCATTTATAAATTAAGAACTGGGAGCGTTGAGAGATGGCGGTGGGAGGCATTTAAAGTATCAATCGAATGACATAATGCGAGTTAATGGCCGTACCAAATGTTTTGATTACAATAGGTAGAAATTATTGTATCAATTCATAAAGCATAAACAGTTTGCAATCTTCTACAATCAAATATAGCGCAATAAATGAATAATATTCAGCTTTACAGTCAACTCGTGTCAACATCATTTGTAATCTTCCAACAACTTTATTAATGAGATGACATGAAACTGGAACTTGTATTTTCTCTATACTTATGCATTATTTCTTTTGTATTTTGTTTCCTCCATTAATTCAACTGTCTAGGTATCTATACGAACTAAAAGGAAAGAGTTGCAAGCTGGGAACTTACATAAAATGTTGAAATAAAAAATTGAATGAATATATTGTAGCAATCCCTAATTCCATGAGGATAATCTTACCCAAATGATCAACACTGTAGTTCGGCGGTATTTCGATCCGACGAAATTTGAATTGAATCATGTAAACAGGTCCTGTACATGAATTATGCTTACGATCAAATGTATAAAAATCCTGTGCTCACAGACAATTATTCATATGGAAATGAAATAATGTGCTAAAACAATGGATAAAAATAAAATAAATTTATCTAAAATAAGATATTGCTGCTACTACTTCACATAGGTTTCCAGTATCCGGACCTGGAGAGCAGATGCTGCAAATATTTGTGGTAACTGTGGCTTCTGATATGGGCCCTGGAAGCCAGACGACATTTCTACACTGGAAAGTTGCGGAAAAAAAAAGGGACAAGAAAAAAAGAAATTACCAACGATATAGTAATACTTTGATGTCAAACTTATGATGCATGTGTACTCTGGCATCAAGCTTACAAAAGCATAAATTTGTTGATACACATCAACCACACTAGCACATAGGCAGATTATATGGATCCCTAAATATGATGGGTGGTATATTGTTTGCAAAAGAGAAACCAACTCAAGTTCCACAGTAGCTATCCCTGTTCAGTTTTAAAAGCACTTACATTTGGATTATGGCAGATGGATTATGAATTGACAATCATCTGAGTTAAAACAATTCATTAAGACTGCAGACATCGATACAAACACTAGTGAACGTTGAAGTACCTAATGAGACTATGGAAACTCCAGTTCAACCATTAAGGTAGTCATGAGTCCCAATGTTAGCTATACTTTCTATTGATATGACTTGTGACGGTAAGAATTCAGTATCATGGACCCTAATGCTACCAAAATTTCTCATTTACATCTTCTCACTCTTCAGCATGATTTAAATGCAGGGGTTAGCGCATGAACGGGTGCCATAAGATCCAAAATGCATCCGATTCCCAGATAAAGATGCACTAGACTGACCCATCAGTCTCGCGTGTTAGGATGTCATTGGCTAGCTTTGTATCATATTAATCTTCAGCCTAGGCGTTTACATGTAATTGATTCCCATTCGACCAATATGCAATTTTACAATCTCTCGGGAATTGAATACACGTGGTTAGTTGTTCATGCAAGATCTTGTGCGCATTCACAAACGCAAAATATATGCAAAATATATATACATGCAGGCGCGCGCACACACACACACACATATATTATGTATGTATATAATTTTTAAATTATAAGTTAGATAACGGGTATCTCTTTTTAAAATTTTGACCATTAGAAAAATGAAAAATATAAATATAAACTTTATAAATTACATATGAATCAATGACAAAATATAATGGAGAATGTATTTTTTATAATTTTGAGGAATCATGACCAATTAATTAGCTGAAAATTTTTAAAATGTTATTATTATTATTATTATTATTATTATTATTATTATTATTCTACCAATTGTTTATGTGATTATAAGGGGTTTGGTTATGCAATTAAAACAAATTAGCTAATTTTAAGAAAAATCAATTAATGAGTTAAAAAATAGTAACACTGATTTTAGAATGAATTATTTTCGAGTATGCGACTTTCATATACCATTTAGGGTGAATTTACAATTTAGTATTAATAGCAACTCCTAGTCCTATATAATAGAATTGTTAAAAAAATATGATTACTCATAATTAATATAAAATGTAACGGGTTTGTTTGCTTCAATTAGTAGAAAAAATGAGCAGAAAAACTTCTTAGTTGCACTAATTGGGTGTATATATATATATATATATATACACCCAATTAGTGCAACTAAGAAGTATATATATACACCCAATTAGTGCAACTAAGAAGTTTTTCTGCGTATATATTCAACTTTCTTAATGGTGAGACATGGTTTGCAAGTCAGAGTGCCACCCCTTTCCATGTAAATTCGCTAAGAATGTTCATTAGTAATTCCAATCATCACGAGGTTTATCAATGTTTGCACTTGTTTGAAATTGAAAAGTCAAGGGAAGGATATTTTCCTTGAAAGTTGTAAAAGGACACCTACTTGAGGGAAGCCCAAGCACCCAACCATGAAATTTCCATCCTGCAAAAGACAGGAAATCATCAAATTGCAGAAAAAAAATTTGACTAGTCACCTTCTATGAAGTGAATTTATTGTATAAGAGTTCTTTAAAGGAGCTCATAGAGACTTAAAAAATTGTTATAGGGCCAATAGATGGATCCATTTGCATGCCAATCAACTTAATGCGTGAATAAAACAGAAGCAAAGAAGCCAGTAACAAGATTTCCAGCTGCATATTCTGCTGTAAAACATATTACTTAGAAGAAAAAAAAAAATAGGAATTTTTAAGTTAAACAAGAGAGGTACTGAAAAACAGAATTTTTTTAATATAAATGACAGATAGTAATCATGAGACACCATCAGCTTGGACTTGGATGGCGGCATCTAACTAGTCCCCCAAATTGTTTTAACATATGCTATAACTAGAGAGCATTGAAGTCACAATGTCCACAGTAACTCGCCAGATAACTCTGGTGCGAGCAGTTATAGTAGCATTAACCTAAAGAGGGCTATTAGTATACCGGCTTTTTCCTGAGAACCATATCTGATTCCTGACAGAGGTTACATTTCCGAACAACCTCCCCAATTGTGTGCTGCTCATGGCCACTGGATCTGTTTGACCTGAATAGATAATATTTTACTTGTTAGTGTTGCTAGCATCTGCATGTACCAAAGAAAATCTAATGTTTACCTATCAAAGAAAATTGCCATGGCTTCAAACAATTTTCCTTTGTTCAGTTTCGCCTATAAAAACAAAAAGAAAAAGAAGGCTTATTATAATTAAACAATTAATAATAAGCAGTGCATATCAAAAGACAAAATGCACAGAATTTGTCACTTGAGTATACTGCGTATGTACTAAGATAAATTAACTGTCAAGAACACAACCAAAGGAAAATTGACACCATTTCTTGGTTGACCTACAACAACGGATGAGTTCTTATATGCCTTCAACAAGACATTTCAGATTGATACTTGAAGTCATGGACACGTTCATGCATCAGGCGACAATATCGCTGCTTTAGTCATGGAAACAAATGACCATGTACTTCTCTAACTAATGTCCAGTCCCATTTCCATACCCACAATTCCAAAGATAGCAAATTATACTCAATTTTAGTTTGTGTGCTACTGTGACACTAGTGCTTACATAGACCCAAATAAGCACCATTTCAAATTAACAAAGGGAAACACTAGCAGCAGGAGTAAGCATTAAACAAATGTTCTCTGCTAAATGAAACAAAATACACAGATTAAATTGACATATACAATGTCAACTTACATCCAAAAAGCAGGTTTTCATCTTCTGTAGGCAAGTTTCCAAAATTTCATCCTTCCGCTTTGCCCCGATGCTAACAGCTTTCATATCACTTTCCATCTGAGAACGAAGATCTGGTTTCCACAGCTCATAACTGGTTCAGAGAATTCCAAAAAATTGTTGTTGTCAATTATGCCAACGCTTCATTTTCCGTAACTGTAAACATTTTATCTTATTATCAACATGAGAGCTTAACCTACCATTATGTAAATGATACAAACTACAGTTGAAGTAGTCTGAGATTAGATCAAGATATTGACTCAATGAACAAATTTGTTGGAGCTTATCATAAAATAGTGAGGAAGATAAGTATAAATACTGCAGTAGAAATAAATTCTTTCCACGGTGATTACCGACGTTGTATCAACCTATAGCCTATTAACCACCAGTGTCTGAAACCAATTCCTCCAACCCCCACTTTCTCTCAGGTCCGATCATAATTACATGGAATGTACATTTTGTTAGCAAACCCAAGCTAAGGAGAAATGTTTCAGTGAAAGGCAATAATAATTAACTTGAGGTGTCAATAATTTGCATCTGATTAATTGGAACTTGTTTTCTGGTTTATTACAAGATCCAACTAGTGAATTAAGACAAAGAAATATTTATTTAATGATAAACAAACCAAATCCTGACTAAGACTTTGGTGTGTAAGTTGGAAAACAAAAATCCTGATTAAGACTTCGGTATGTAAGTTGGAAAAACAAAAACCCAATTAAGCAGGTAACCTACTCACTGTATAAAAGAATTTTCCTGGTTCACAGTTAAATTAATTTGTTTGCATCATCAGTTAGCTCAGCATACTTCAAAATAATTTGTGAAAACTAAATGATCATTTCAAGTTTCTATGCTGATGGTTTGTCATCAAATCATAATTGATTGGTTAATACTCTGTTGTGTCCAAAACTGTGCAGAAAGGGAATAATGCAGACTGATAAAAACGTGAATAACTCACCCCATGTCATCATAACCCATTACGAGTGCTTCTCCCTGAAATTAAGCAAGGCTTGGATTATAAGTCCGTGGCATGTAATTTACAGTTTCAAATAGTTTTCAATAGGTTAAAATGTTAAACACAGACAAGCAAATATAACAATACAATTCGCAGATGCCTCAATGAGAATACAATGCAATCTTCATTGGTGAACAGAGACTGTAAATAGGACACACATAGATACTCTGTATAAAAAACTAAATTAAATGGGAATAGCAGAACAGCTAAAACCTGTAATACCAAGCAACAATATGTAAAATCTATTATACCAAGCAAAGACATGTAAAATCTGCAACACCTCAGAATCCTGACATATAATTACAAATGAAAATAGGGGAGTGCTATTGTCATAGTGAAACAGACAAATGATAGATAGGAAGGAAGACATTACAAGTTTAGTAGGTGAGAAACGCATGCTTGAGTCTTTAGTGGCATAAAAACGATCAAGAAGCTTTTTTATGTGGTCATGCATTGTTGCATCGGTTCCAATACCTGCCTATCAAATTGAAATAGATTAAAAATATTAATCAATAGAATCTGCAATATATATATATATATCCAAGGACTGAGAGTTTTCACAAAAGCAAAAATGGGACACGCGATGTATGTTTCCTATAAATTGTTAAAAACCCTTACCTTATCCATACAACTTAGTAAATCAGCCTCACTTAGAAGAGGTGGGGGTCTTGTAACTCCTGAATCGAGAGTCAATGAGCTCGGCGTAAACTGCAACAACCAAGCATTAAAATTAATGTTATATGTACTCTAAGTTGACGAGTTGAAAAAGGTGGACAGCCATAAATCAAAAGTGTTCAGCAGCTTGGTAAATACAATCCCCTGTCGTTGCTATTTCACTGTGTTAACTTTTCCCCTTCACTAGGGGCAGGCATCCAAACCAATATTACATTTTACAATCATGTTTTCATACATTCCAATTCTTAAAAACAGTATGTTGCATGCCTCAATCATGAGATGCAATCTGCTATGATAAATTATTCCTGTCGAAAAAAGTTCATAGAAACATCACAATCCACTATTGATATTCATTGAAGAAACATCTCAAACATTCCTGGGTCAACAATATATCACTACCAATCCGCACAACAGACTGGAATGATATCTAACCCATGCACTACTGTTAATTGAAAATTCATACGTGCTTAACTTTGTCCTCAGATCAACAGTTGCAGATTAGAAGGTTGAGATAAAAACAAAACAAAAAACAACAACAAATGAATTCAACCTCAATATAGACAAGTGTGGTCTAGCAGAAATTTGAAAATATATCAGCCTAGTAAATATCAAATTACTATACATAGGAAATACAATATTGATGCAGCACGATAATGGGATAGATTCAACTTCATTGCATATCTATCCAGTAGATGCATGACATATACTTGAGGATATAATATGCAGAAGATATTGCAAAAGGCATAATAACAATCAAAATTGATTTTACATTGTAATGAAAACAGCGATTCACAAACACTTCAGTTAACAACTTATCAAAGCAGATAAACAGATGATTAGAGAACCTGTTGCCCAATGTTGTAGGATGGGATCATAGAATTTCCCCATGACTCAAATCGATATACATCCAAGTAATTTTTCTGGAAAAACACAAATCCTTAGTTAACTTAGAAAGTAAAAAACAAAAATAAAAAATCAATCATAGTATTCAACATTAATTAAGAGATTTTATATCAATGGAGTGCTCGTCACAAGAATGTTCTAAAGCATCATTTGACTGCTATAATTTAATCCAGAAAATGTTTTGACAAGATCCCCTTGCAAATGTTTTTCCTTTTGCATTGATAAGTTATTAGGCTTAACCAATAACAAAGTATCCTTGTTATTCTATAACTCATTTCTTAAAAACTTGTAAGGCTTCATAATATAACAATGTACCAAACATAGCCAACAGGTACAACAACCATCAAACATGAACTTAAGAAACAGGAAACTCACAGCAATTATCACTCTCCCAGATGCAGAGAACTGTTCGCCAGCAATGTCAATATTAACTGTAGTTTCAGCTCCTATAGCTGGTTGAGAAACACATGCCAGGAAATGGCGAACAACCAATTCATAGACGTTCTGTTATGATTTGTGAGTTCACTTCAGTACACATATGTATCTAATATCGAAAAAATCAGTAAATGTTTAGTCGAAAATTGAGTAACAGCTGTTGTCAAAAAATGGTACCAACATTGTGATCTTGACTCCAACCAGATTCTCCAGCAGAAAATTTTGTTGGGTGGATGGGAGGATGGGCTTTGTCATCATGTCCACCATTACTAGGATCTTTCCAAAGGTTTTCTTCAGGATCCAGCAACCGTTGGGCATATGAGCCCCATGTTGGGTGTCCTTGCTGCTCTTGCACAATTGTCTACCAAACAGGAAGAGGTCAGACAAACTCTATGGTCTATACTCCAAAGGGTTTACACAAATATATATACATAAATGGTATAGGTACTTGGAAATGGAAATGGTCGTGCTGATAAACTTTGCAGAACCTTGGTGTTTGTTTTTCTAAATTTTAAACATATTCCGCCAAACAAACAGCATTAGTGCTGGAAAATTTTAAAAAGGACTTGTCATGCTAACGGATGTCGTTTTGCTGAATATATCCTGACCATTAAATATAAAAATCAATATAAAAAATAAATCTACCACTTAAATTATTAATATACAGACTCAACAATTGAACCATCAAAAGGACACATATACTCTGCTTCCTTACTAAACAAATATTCAGGTCATAGATGAAAATCTGTCACTTACACGCAGCTCTGTTCTCACAGTAAAGCAATCAGTCTCAGTACGAGGATAACTGATAAATCCAGCTTGGTAAAGATCTTCTGCCACCTGTATTTAAAAGCAGAACATCCGGAATTGATTTGTACAATTTATGAGTTTAGAAAAAAAATATATACATATGCTGATAAAACAATTACAAACAGAACTTGAAATATGATCCTAAAAGACAGTTTTGAAGGACATTACAGTAATTTGATCATTTCCAACAATCATACAATGCTGATGCTAGGTCCCCATCCCCACATGTTGCACATTGAAAGCATAAGTAACAATGAACTAGCAAAAATTTGTAGAATAGTTTCCTATATCATGCCAATGAATTTATTTATGTTTCTTAATTTTCACAAATAAAGTTTTTAACAACACAAGTCCTGCCTCCATTGCACCAGTGAAGGCATCAGATGAACAGGAAATCCCACTAGCTGGCATTTTCGGATATAATTATGAGGATTAGACATCTAACATGGAGGAACTAAATGACCGAATCAATAAAATGTTCTGGTTGTCCCATTGACCTAAAGCTACAGTTCATAAAAAATTGGTAATGGATAGAAAAGTGTCGTAAAAACTCTTGAGTTTCATATACAACTTTCAAAAAATATCAAAATCTTGTGTAGTGATTTCAATTTTCAAGTTTTAGATTGAAAAATCTTATCACTAATAGAGTTTCAAATAATGAAAGATGAAAAAGAAAATCATCCAAGCTGTGACATAACAATCAAAACAAACAGAAATGCTCTAAATAAAGTTTGCCAACAGTGAAATCAACAAAAAGATAAAACAGGAGAATAATAGGAGATGTCTTTTACAAGGAGAAACTGGCCTTCATAGTACGTTCTGAGCTCATTCGGAAGTAACGTGAAGCACGCTTTTCAAGCTCTATTGTACTCAAAGGATGGGGGGGATGGTGAAGCCTCTCCTGTTGTCTAACATTTGTGACCTGGAGATGAATAAGTAGAAGATCAACCCAACAGTAATAAGTTTATTACTTTATTTCATGGAAAATGAAGATCAACCCAGCAGTAATGAGTTTATTACTTTATTTCATGGAAAATAGTAGGTCTTTTTATAGAGACTTACAGTTGCAGTGGGTTCCTGGAGACACATTTCATATATAATCACTGCACATGTGTAATCAAACAAATGCCCTCTCCTGCTTAGTTAAACAGAATTAGTCTTCCATGTTAGGCAGTTTGATTTCAAAACAACAGCAAGGTAGATGTATTTACGCCCAATGAAATCCAGCAGTGCCTTGTTCAGAATTATGAGTACAGTTTATAGTCCAGAACTCTTCCGGTTCATGTGCTTGAATTTCCCAGAACCTCTCCACGATGAAACCCAGTGTCGGGAACTGCAGCCGAAAAAAAAAACATCAGCACCAAGCATAAACTTCAGTAATATGCAAAACTTTGTACAGTTAAAAAGAGCTGAATAATGTGATATAACAATTTATAAGAAATAACAGCATTATTCAATTATTAAATCTGAACTTCTCATTCGTATTCTTTGCATGCTGATTAAAGAAGGGATATGGTTCACCTGGCAAGGACCATAACTTAAAATAATATTTTGGTTATCTGTAGCAAAATCAAGGACAAATGCATCTCTCAAAAGCATCGTCTGAAACCGTGTGAAAGAAGCTCCAATCCGGAGATCTATTTCCTACATTACATATCAATCACATAAATGGTTAGCATCTTGAGAAGCAAAGTGAAAGCTATAATAAAGAGCCTCGTGAAAACAAAACAACAACAACAATAACAACAATTCAAAGAAAGCTTGAGAGAGATCAATAGAAAGAATTCCAAACCAATAAGCTTTAGATGACTCACTTGTCGAGCATCTACAGCATCAGAAAACATTTGATTAGGCGGACCAAGATCCTGAACTGCATTACGAATTTCCCTGAGCTTCCAAAAATTTATTACTACATAAGCAGGTAAAGATGAAAAAATCAAACTTTGTAAACAAGTGCAGAATATCAACCAGCCACCTAACCTATCGGTTAAAGAGGAGAAACGAGCTCTTCTGATGTTGAGATTACGGTTTGCTCGTGTGCAAACTTCAACCACCTCAAATGCTATGTTTTCTCCTTCCCTATCGCAGTCAAGCCAGAGGATAAGCCACTGACACTTTCTGGCTTCTTCCTCCAGTGTCTTTTCGATGTCTGATTTATCCTAAATCAAGGAATAATGAGCATTAGCCAACGATCGTCAAGGTGGAGCATTGAATTATGTTACATTATCCCTTACAAAGATATTATTACTCGACTGTTCAAGTACATAAATATCAGGGCTATTGCTCAAAAGAAACAAACACCCACTCAAACCAATTAAGGGGGGAAAAAAGACAATATATAGAGATACGTCGCATAGCAACATCATCAAATATATTTGCGAGACACATGTATTCTCTCAACACTTAGAAATGTACCGGGAAAAGAAATTTACAAGCTGAAATTAATTTTCCAGCAAAAAGATCACAGAAATTAACCCCAAGCCCAAGGTTTAATATTTGACTCACAATTTTGTTCAAATTCATGAAACGCGAAAGTTAACACATAAATCCAGTTCGTTACCTGAGGCACATATTTCTTGACAGGGGCGTGGTAGAGATCGGCCGGGTCACAAGAGTGCCACTTGCGATAACGGTCATCGAAATCGAGCTCCATGAGATGACCGGTGACAGAAGTGAATGACATGTGAAACTGCTGATTACGAATGGAGCACTCAAACTCGAATATCTTGTTGTATCGAGACCGCCCATCTCTCACCCTCATTCCGCTGCTCGAAGGATTCTTCGAGAGTATAGCCGACACCGCTTTAGCCACGGACGGCTTCTCCGCCACGTTCAGTGCCCTTATAGGCCGCCCTCCGCCGCCGGCCATAGTGCTGATGTACTGTCGCTCGTGAGGAGTTCAGTTTAATTGTATTTTGGTTGATTGAATATTAAAAAAGGCTATGGAAATTGGGGATTTCCCGCCTAGGGGGTGACTCTGATTATGTTACCACGAGTAGACATGGCCAAAGGTTCGGCCGGCCCACGGCCCTGACCCGGCACGGACCCGGTCCAGTCAAACCTGTTGACCACGGGTCCGGGATCGGCCCAGATTTCAAACGGCCGTGTAAGGGTCATGGCTCGTTCCGGACGATATGGGCCGAGCCGGGTCGATGACCCTTCTTTTTAATTTTTTTTTTATTTTTTTATATTTTCTTTTTTAAAAAAAGCACGGACCCAGCCCGGACCCGGCACGGCCCGGACACGGACTCGGCACGAGTACAGGTCCGTGCCAGTTCAGGGTCAGTGTTTTCGAGCCCGACGACCCGGCGGGCGACTCGCCCCGGGTTTTGGCCATGTCTAACCACGAGTGTATCAATATGATGCACACGGATATAATATAACTAGTACGATGATGCACGGGTAAGAGATGTTTATTAATATTTATAAATTAAAAATATGAAATGAATATGTAATACAATTGATCTATATTAATTTATTGAAAATATTATATAAAATTTAAATTGTGCAAAAATAAATCATGTTTATTTAATAAATTACATTATATTGATAGAGTTTGGATTTAACCTTATGAGAAATAAATCGCTTAATTCCAAGAGCGTTCATATCGAATAATCGAGAATCATAATCGAATAGCGGAAGCGTACTTGAGGGATTCATATCGATTGATTGCACTGAAATTGAATTGGGATTTTGGATTTGAGATTTAGAGTTCTTCCAAAAAGTCGTGAACCCGATAACTCTTCTCTTATGACGTATGCAGATAAAAATTTGATAAACTGATGAAGAGTCGTAGGGAACGGTTTTATTCTTCTTATAACTTAATGAAGATTTCTAAAAGACCTCCTTGTATTTATCACGACTTTTGGGGATTCCACCCATAAATAATTGTGATCCAAATTATTTATTTTTTTTTTCCAAAACGATAGAGGTTTTATATAAAATGGCACAAATGTGCAAAAGAGCAGCCACCAGCTGAATACACACAGCCAACAGCTGAATACAGACAGCCAACAACTGAATAAACTGAGAGGACAGTCCAAGGACCGCCTAGAGCCGACCCCAACGGGGTAATACTCACGGACACACTACAACACTCAAAAACACTAAGAAACTAAAAAGACCCCAACAGGGTAATACCCGAGTGTCTGATCCCAACTGGATAATAAGAGGACACTCGGGCTCACAGGGGCCAACGACCCAAACCAAAACACAAGACCGAAACAAACAAGCCTATAAAAAACAGGAAATAAAATTACTAAACTACTACATTCGATCCCTTCCCCAACTGGCCAACGAGCTCGGCCCGCAGAGATCAATCAATCCAAGGAAAATCTCGAGCCCAGGCACTACTACCGAAACTGCGATAACGCCTATACAAGCAGTCGAACTTGAGCCCCAAACCTAGCCCCTGAATGATCCACCCCCAATCGAGGGAACACGACACCAACTCCCGCACCTTCACAACCCGAATTCATCTAACACCACTAGCTAAACTCGGTTGCTCCGGACCCCAACCGACCCCAACACCAGAGAACCGGGGGAGAAAGAGAGCGGCACAGTCCCACTGCTCTAGCTTCTCCGACGAAGGACGCCACAGCCGCTGAAGCCCCATCCCACCTGCTGACCCTCCTACCGGCCATCACCATAGTCCGCCGGCAAATAAAAACGAAAGCCCCTTCAGGGCCCCACCGAGAGGACGGAGCCGCCCGCAGAAGAACCCTCCCGTCACTGCAAAGTCGGATTTTGAGGTCAACCACCTCCAATCGAGACCCGCCGGCAATAGACACCACCAATTGCTTGACCAATCGCCGACCAAAGGAGCTCACCACCGAAAATCGCGATTTCGCCGGCGACCTAGGAAAGGGGCGGATCATCAATGGCCGATTTACCATGGCAACAGAGACGGTTGAGGAGACAGAGGGAAGGACGAGCGATCTAGGGGCGACGGCGGGCCTAAGCCTCGCCGCCGACAAGGAAGGCAACACGGCGAGAAAAAGGTAGCAAATGGCGAGGTTTTTTTTGTCGCGAGAGAGAGAGAGAAGAAGATGTTAGGGTATTCGCAATTCTCTTTAATTAGGTCCTTAAGTTTAATATTATTATTTGTTAAGTCACTAAATAATAATATTATCGGGTGTCCACTTTTATTCATTCCACAATCTAAATTAAGTTCCTTAGCCAATATTTCTGTACAATAATTTGATCACTTAATTGGCTAAACAGCATAATGACCCAATGTATCAATTACACATATTTAATCCCAAAATAGATCTAACATATATTCATTCAAAATAAGTGTCATTTTAAAAATATCTTCACACCACGCTCGAACCCCCTTGCCATTAAATTAAGTATCATTTTCTGAGATAAACACCTTTGGTACGTCAAACCTGCAGCAAATACTGTTATATAAAAAATGTATGACTTTGTCCTCTATGATCTTGGCCAAGGGTTAGGCCTCCACCCACTTCGTGAAGTAATCGACTGCCACAATCAGAAGTTTTCTTTAACCGAATCCCTGCGACATTGGCCCCACCAGGTCGATGCCCCACTGCGCAAATGGAATGGGGGCGCTCATCGTGGTCATTGTTTTCGCCGTTGGTGAATGAATGGACTATGCTTCTGGCACTGAAGGTACCTTTTCACCATCGATGTTGCATCCGCCTTCATCGTCGGCCAGAAGTAACCTGCATGAAGAATTTTTGGGATCAACGCCCCAGCTTTGTATGATCGTTGCAATAGCCCTCGTTCACTTCTCTCAACATGTATCTCCCTTCCTCTTTGGTCACACATCTCAAGTATGGCCCTGCATATGACCTCTTATACAAGACCCTTCCTTGTTCAAAAAATCTCTTGATAGCCTTCAAACTTTTCTTCCTTCAACTCCTTCAAGATGGAGCCCTTCAATCTTTGACCTCATCAATTTCTGTGACTTCAGCTTCCACTGCGCTCTTTTCCATATGTAATAAAGTTCCACTCTTACTCTTGCAATCAACCAAGTTTTCAGCTATTTTCGACAATAGATCTGTTCGTCTATTCTCTCCCCTCGGTATTTGAATTAGCTCGAACGAACTGAATTCTCCCTGCAACTTCTTCTACTCATCCACATATTTTTGCATTTTTCTTCCTTAACCTCTAAACCTTCCTGAAATTGTCCTACAACCAATTGGGAACCTGAGTTCACCTGAATCTCTCGAGCTCCACCTGCCATATCAAACAGCAATCCCTTGATCATTGCTTCATTGTTAGACACCTAAAATCCCAACTTGGTTGCGAACTCCAAACTATCTCCTTTGGGTGAGATCAACATTATGCCCAAGCCTGCTCCTCCTTTTGAGACGGAACCATCCACATACAATTGTCATTTTTCTCCGATTCGACCTTTATTTTTGTCCCCTCCTAGATGAAATTGGCCAGAACCTGGGCCTTAATCACTCTTCGGGAGTCACAAATAATGGAGTATTCACTCAACTCGACTGCCCACTTTACTAGTCGACCAGACACCGAAGGTCTACCAAGTTTTCTCCTAATGGCATACTCGTCCTCACCTTCACTTCATGGTTAAGAGAATATGATCTTAATTTTTGCACCGTGACCACTACCGTCAATACACACTTCTCGATTTCTGAGTACCTCAACTCGACTCCCTACATCACCCTGCTAACATAATAAATTGTAAATTGAGTTGTCCCCTCTTCTCGAATCAACACCGAACTCACGATCATCGCTCCAATAGAGATGTAGAGTACCAGATCTTCTCCTTGAATTGGCTTAGCTAACAGAGGTAAATTAGCCAATACACCTTGTAACTCCTCGAAAGCCTTTTGAGTGTCCTCCGTCTAATTAAACCTCGAGCTCTTTTTTAACGTTTTAAACAACTAACCACACTTCTCAGCCACCTTCGATATGAACCGACTTAAGCCAACAATTCGACCTGTAAAGACTTGGACCTCCTTCACACTTGTTAGCGGTTTCATCCCTAACACTACTCGAACTTTTTCTGGATTTACCTCTATTCCCCTCTTTGTTACCATGTATCTTAGAAATTTTCTTGACTTCACCCCAAACTAGCATTTGGCAGGATGAAGTTTCATCCCATACTTCTGCAATGTTATGAATGTCTCCCTCAGTGATAGATCTCCTTTTTGCTCTTGACTAACATATGATCAAAATATACTTCCATGTTTCAACCAAGCTGCTCCTTAAAAATTTATTTACCAACCTCCGGTACGTCGCTCCTGCATTTTTTAATCCAAATGGCATCATCACTTAACAATATGTAACTCTGCTCGTAACAAAGCTCACCATTTTCCTATCCTCCCGAGCTAGAGAGATCTGATGATAACCTTGTGACGCGTCCATCAAACTCAGCAACTCACACCCTGCAGTAGAATCGACGAGCTGGTCGATCTTAGGAAGTGGATACAAGTCTTTTGGGCACGCCTTGTTTAAGTCTCTGAATTCAATACACATCCTCCATTTGTCCTCTGACTTGGACACCATAACTGTGTTGAACAACCACTCTGAAAACTATATCTCTATAATATGTCTGGCTTTCAAAAGTTTCTCCACCTCCTACTTGATTACCCTGTCCATTTTTGCACCATGGTGCCTTCTTTTTTGCTTCACTGGCCTCACACTGAGGTCAATGTTGAGTCTGTGCTTGATCACGATGGCCTCGATGCCCGTCAACTCCTCCGCTGTATATGAAAAAATGTCCACGAACTCCCTTATTAACTCAATCAACTTTGACCTCAACGACTCCTCCAACTCCTTACCAATCCTGAACTTCCAATTGTCACAACTTTCGACCATATGAATTTCTTCGACCTCTCCTCCTGGCTGAATATCCATCTTCTCTTTCCCCTTATCAAGCTTCGATCTCTCCTCCTTCGACCGAGAACCACTTGGTCGATTCAACACCTATTCTTTGGGTTTGGC